GAAAACCCACTTTCACTATTCGGGACCAAATAACTGCCCGACTAGTGCCCAAATGAGGTTTCGGTGACGTGAACCTGAAATGAAACTAAATAATGTATTGATTACAAAATCAGTAAGTTGTGATTGTTTCTGTTTATCATGGAGATGTGGTAGTGGTGTTGTGTATCATATTGTATGGGGATAGGTATTTGCACCATGGTTTGGGGGTGGCGGCAATTTATCTCTGGATGCCTTCTCTGCCAGGCTTATATACTAACAAAGGAGGTTCCCGAATGCACTCGGGTCTCCCCGATCATTCGAGAAATTTCACGTACGCTACCAGCGCCGTCACGTGACTTCTGCTGTCGTAACACAGTGAGACATTTAGGAGATATAAGAGCTCTTGTGTTTCTAAACTAGTCTTACACGTACAAAAAAATTTGCTAATGTCAATAATCAATGGATGGTGGCTAATGAAAGCCTATCGTAAATACGCATTCCCGCAAAAGTTTAATAATCAAAAGCATTTTTGTCTTTCATACTCCATTATTCTGAAATATGTATTAGAAAGTGTTATGTTACAAGAAAAATGATTGTAATAAAGGTAAAAAGACCAGGACCAGATGGTTCTTTATTGTATGTTTGAAGTAACTTTATTTTAGTTTTCCATCTTATTTTATAGATAGAAAGTAGGGAAACATTCAAACAATTTAATATAATTTGTATATTAACTGTAACAGTAATACAGTTCACGTGACTGTGGAACTATAATCAATAACTCTGTACTCGGTGGTTAAATGAAGCCAAAAAGTTTTTATTTCACAATCTTGTAGAGAATAATATTACAAAACTTTTAAGTAAATTTACTTCAAAACCCAATGTTACAAAACATGACTATACACATAAAGAGCAAATCTTACAACTGGAACTGAAAAGCACCATAATAGCCTTTATAACTTAGCCTACTTTTCAGCTTCTTAACGGCACACATGTATCAGTTATCATTAACTTGTCTGCATTCGGTCAATTACGAACAAAAATACGTGTGTGGCTTTATTACAAAATATTACAAGCTTTTCTATAGTTCCACAGACTCACACCACAAATAAATATTTTTGATGAAAGAGATGCCAGTATTTCATGGAGAAGAAAATATTAAAAATTAAATACATGCATTACTTAGAATACTGCCCTCAATTATGAACTCTGTCTTATTTGTGTTAGCAACATAGAAGAACAATGTTTCAAGTGACCAATCAGTGATGAATTAAGCATATGTTAAGAAAAAGAATGTTCTATCAGTTCTAGAAAGCCAAGATCCAGGTTTACCAGTTTCTAACTACCTAGTCATTAGTACATTCAACTTCAGGTTAATGATATGTTTTAATATTCTTATAAAGAATATCTCCTAATCTGTCAGTTTTTAAGTGACTCGTTCACAAATTCTGGCTGAAAAGAGAGTTAGGCTATAACCACACTGCTCTAAAACAAACATTTAAATGATCCAATCTTAATTATGAAGTTGTTAGTAGAGTCCAATTGCTGGATGCTGTAGTGGGAATGTTTAAGCTACAGTACTGACAAAAACATGCCTCTTGGTATACACACACTGAAACCTAATCCAAGTTATTTGTCATTACTCTAAAAGTTTCCAGCTTTCTTGCAAAATTGAGCAGTGCATAACTAATCACCGCAAACTGGTGCTTTTGTACTCAAATACAAACGAATTCATATATGTATTACGTGTCTTTTTGGCAATATCACTCAGAAACACTATTTGAAATAAGTCAGCAACAACTTCAGTCTTTTTCATATGAATAATATTGAAATTTTAGTTTAAATAATTATCCTAATTAATACTAATTACCTTATACATGTTTGTTTTACTTAATATCACACAAATCAAGTAATGTAATTTGAATTATCAGTCACTTTAAAACACAGACCTTTTCCCACATTAAGACAAATACAATTTCTAAATACTTCATACACAGAACACAATATACAGTTAATATATACATATACACAATTAATCTCATTTACTGAGTTTATCTTAGCTCCTCTTGGCACAAAAGCATGGTCCCAGTTCAATATTAATCAATTCGTACATTGAAAAACTTCCATCAAGGTCACTTAAATAAACAGGCACAATGAAAAAGTCTTAAATGTACTAGTATTTTATTAAATAGCAAATGTCAAAACATAAGTTCTGAAACTAAACTACTGCCCTATAACTTTAGTAATTACAAATACTAAATCTTTAAAACATTTTGTGTTATAATAAATAAAATTCAGTATGTATATTTCACATTCACACACTAACAATACAAATTGGGCACATCCCTTTGGTTGTCACAATGATGGAAAGTTTTTTTTGTTTGTTTAAAAAGATGACAACATAGCATGTGGATAATTTTACATATTTACTTGATTACCACTGAATAATTTGTTACTGGTAAATCCAAGTGACAGTGGGTTTGATAATCACTTGCATGTTATATTTTAATTACTTTAGTTAGTTCACACATTGTTCTGCTTTACAACATAGTAAACTTCTATATGAACATATAAAATTCTTAGATTACTTATGGAGAGGAAAATTATGCCAAATGAATGAAATCAGATTGGAGGCCTGATTACCAAAACAAAAAATTAACTTCAGAGAACAGATATCATAATTTTCCTGTCAGATAATATACAAATGCATCAGGAATACAGAGCATTGTATGGTGAACAAATTGATAAAGTAGATAAAAATAAATCAGCCTGATCCTAAGGTGGCTTTTGATATTCATAGAGAGGAAATGATTTAATACCTAAAACTGGCAAATATTTGTTTACCCAAAGTGTATGTGACAATACAGTATGAAGTTAATTTCATTTTTCAGTATTTATCTTTCCAATGATACTGCAGATCTGCTGAACAGTGTTGTGTGTTTGGTCAAGTTATTCATTTTATATAGCATAAGATATTACTGAATTTTTTTTATGCAAAATACAAGTATTAAATTTAGTTTTAGTGTTAATAAAATACTTAATTGAGAAACTAATCTGCACCTGTTTAGCTATACACTGTTTTATGAATTAAAAAAGTTGTGAATAGTTTCTCCAAATGTTAAACTTCTAATTAAATAAATACTGAACAAAATAAAAAAATTTGTTAAACTGTAATTACACATTAGATAATAATACAAAGCTGGACATACAGTGCTTCGAAATTCCCGATGACTTTGTAAGTTATCAGCCATATAAATATGGTGATACCTATTCTCTGAAGTTCACTTTTCGTTTAGGTAATCAGATATATATATATATATATATATTAAGGATATTTTGACTTTAGTCCACTAATACAATTGCAGTACTATATATGTACAGGGTGAGCATCATAACAGGCTAAATCACCACAGATTTTTAAACAAGCATCTATTCCAGTTACCTAGCTCTGTTTCTTTACACCATGAAGCAAACATAAAAAGAAAAAATTCAAATGTTGATAAGAAAATTGTATGTGTATGCAAATGTACAAAATTTACTTAAAATATCAGACTGTTACATTTACAGGCACTAAGGCTTTAAGGCAGTTATTATACATAAAATGTTTATGGCATCTTTTACTAGGTTTTTACGTCTATTCAACGGGAAACTTCTCTGATGTTACAACCAGAACACAATTAAAGTTTAAAATGACTTGTGTACCAATACCATTCATACCATGCTATTGAAGACACCCAAAGAGGACTGCCAGTAAATTGTTATTATACCAGTGAGATGTTTCAAAGCTAATCATAACTTTTTCTTTGATATAACCAAATTATCATAAACTTGTCATGAATCATACATATTACCCAGTGAGTAATGGCAAGAAATAATTGAAATTGGAGTAACCAAAGTTAAGTTTTTAAGTTTTCTCCAAAAAATATTCATTTGGAGCTTGATATTAATAAATCACTTTGCTTTTCCACACCTCTTTCACAGCAGTATACATACTTATTACTAAGTTCCACATGAATTTCAACTACATATTAATCCAGTTAGAGGTACTTAAATGTTTTATAAAGAATCAAATCAATATTTTTTTCACATTGCACAGTTTACCTTATACTAACCTTTGTTTTTAGATCAATCACACTAATGATCTTCCAAAGAATCCTCAATGGGAGAAAAATGCTAGTTCAAAGTTCATACATCAATGTTTTTCTTTTCTATATCAACTATGAATAACAGTGGGTTTTATTCACTCAAAAATATGGCAGAAAAGTAAGAAACCTGAAGCTAATTAGCTTAGACTTATCAGAACTTTTGTGGTGGCTAACAAGTGAATCAACCTCACATCATTAAAAACTATTCTCAGATGATACAAGCCATAAGAAAAATTGGGCATATTATACTAAATTTATATTTTTCAAAGAAATAAACTTTTATGACAGTGGTTCAAGTGAATAGCTAATTTTCTGTGTTCCTTAAGTAAGTTATACTCTATCATTTATTTATCTTATATCCATTAACAGTGTTGGTTATATTATTTAGTATATCGAATGAAACTACTTTTTAATTTTATCTTCATTATTATTATGCTTTAAATAGGCATTAAAGACTGAACTAAATCCAATAAGCTGGCTGAACTAGGTAAGATAATATTGAGATTACAACCAAAAATATCATTAACTCTGAGGTTACCTAACTGATGAAACGATTCATTATAATCTTAGAAACATACAAAAAGTGTATCTAATTAGCTATAATCATTGCTACAATTTTTAGTTTTGCTCTGATCACAAATTAATATTAACGCATCCATATAAAATTTACTTTATTATATTTACACAAAAATATTTTGTATAATTCTGGATCTGTCAGTGTACAAGTTAAAAAGTGTAAGGGATTCTTACACCATCAGTCCTACATTTCATTAAGCATATAATGTGCAAAACATTTAATTACACATTTAAACTTGCAATAACAACCCAATATGGATATTTTAAGATTAGTTCTGTGGCTTTTATATACCTTAATGGCTTTATTCTATGAGACTATAAACATGTTAGGGAACTTTTGGTTAGTTCAGAGCGAGTTCAAAATTTAAATACCTATATTTCTTGATGTAGCAGTATATTTTAAATTTTTTTAATGGCACCATTCTAAAGTTCAGCTAGCTATAATTTCTGATAGAACAGCATGTTTGAGAATGTTCAACAAGACAGTCCTACAACTACTAATTGTGTTTATTTATGTATAATCTCTGATGTAAAAACATGTAGACTTCATTTTATGATACTAGTTTTAACTAAAAATTAATTAGATACATTTATCTTTTACTGATATATGAAATAAATGGTTTTTAAACTTAATCAAATGAAGAAATTACTTCAGAAAATTTTTAATTTCACAAACAACACATCTTTTCTATAAAAAATTCTGAAACAAGAGGCATGTAAACCTGCTTTAAAACAGCTTTAATTACTATAACAGGTTTTCACCTGAGGTATGTATGCTTAATTGTAATTGAAACAATCGTGATAAACTGGAACCTGAGCTATACATTAAACTAACATTAACACAGTTTGTTTCAATCATAAGAGGTTGAAATCTGAGGTACATCAGCCTATTTTTATGTATTTTAAGATTATCGTGACAGATTAGAGCTGGATGTGTGTGAGCCTGCTCCTACAATTACAACATCTTCTGCAACAATCTCCACTTCAGATGGACGTACTTTGAAAAGAGGTCCGCATTTTAATATTATTTGAATAGCATCTTCACGACCTAACTCTTCCAGTTTACTGAGAAGACTCTTTATAGTGCTGTTGGGATTTTTTGACCACTGTTCCAGTGTTCGAGCTGTGGGACTGTTCCTTGAATTTTCTCCAGGGTCAATATGTGGAAGTTCATCTGTCATCCCAAGCCGAACTCCCAACATGCACCAATCACGACCCATGGATTCTGGAGGATCCAGTATAGCACAAAGATTTTGGCGAGTCAGCACTGACAGGTGAGACACATGAATATCAGGTGCAAGAGTTAATCCAGGTGAGACACCTGAATCTGGATTTAGATACCTCTGAAGCTCAGTGGCACCACTACAAAATAAGTCTAGAACTTTTTCTTGTACATTCTCTCTTTCAATCACAGCATCTGGCCCATTCTTAATCAACTGTTTCATTACCAGGTCTGGTGGAAAACTGACTGGATTATCCACATGAGACTGCAACTGAGAAGCACTAAGAAAATGTCTTTCCACCACAAGACCAGGACAAATGTCACCAAGAACTTGATCTACCACACTCAGCAAGTCCTCCAAAAAGTAGAAACTATCACAAACAATGAGTAAACAGTTAAAAACCAAACTTTGATCTTTGTAAATAAATGAATGAAAGTTTTGATATTAAACATAAATTAACATTATCACCTTACTGATTTAGCAAAATTGTTTTTAGTATTATAAAAAGTAACCCAAATTTAGTTGATTAATGATGAATGAAAATATTCATACAAGTAAGAATGATTTCATCAGGAATAAAATTATACAAGTACATCACAAAGTACTCCAATCTGAAAAAATAAATAGAATAAATAAGATTTTAACTGAATTACTTTATTTGGGAGTTTGAAGTTTCTGTTAAAAATTTGTATTTCAAACACTGTCAAACCTTTTTTCCTGTGTGTTTACTATTTAACATCAGATTTAAATTGGTTATCTATCTATACAAAAGAGGAAGTTTTGTTTATTTCTTTATTTTGTTCGCTATAGGAAACCAAACGGTTGAACTTACAAATTTTAAAATAACTTCATAATAACCAGTTTTTTTACAAGAAATTTAATGGTGCTATTTATTCTGCATTTGGCATAGTATTTAATGATGAAATTGACAATTAATAATTATTGCAACATTTTTTTGTAATAAACATACACACATAAGCACGTTTTGCACATAGAAAGTGTTATGGCGGGAGACACTCAGATCACCTTGCTGTCAATTCAGTATTTTCGAAAACAGTTTTCTTTAAATAGTGCTAAGTGGTTTCATAGGTGATTTAGTAACTTTGTGAATTGCAAATTATTGTTTAGTGATACAGGTGATTATGCCACCCAAGAAATGCTCTTTCTATGGAAAGTCTTCTGCCTCTAAAAGAATGCAAGCACAAAGAGCAGCTGAAACAGAAGAAGAATGCAATCAAAGACTTCAAGCACAAGTTGCTCAAATACAGGAAGAGCCTTTGGAACAACATAAAGTTAGACTTCGAGCTCAAGCTGAAAGGCAGGCTACTCAAAGACAGCAAGAAACTGTTGAACAGCACAAAGCCAGAGTTCAGTCAGAATCATCAAGGGAAGCTGGACATAGACAACAAGAAACTTCTGATCAATGTCAAACCAGACTTCAAGCACAAATAACTTACAGAGAGCAAGAAATAGAGGAGCAACATGATGTACGACTTCAGGCTCAAAGAACAAGACAAGCTCAAACATGATCTAATTTCAAATAAAGCTTTGTTTGATTAAATGCTTTTTTATTTCTCGCATCACAGTTTTTGTCTACTTACTGAATAATTTGCTGAAAAAAATACTGATCTATACATTTCAAATCTAAATTTTCACCGTGCAATGCCAGGTAACTCAGTTAGTTTATAATAAATTGACTTGTCAATACTTTGATATTTACAGAGCTCAAAATTAGCAATTTTAGATAGTTGGATTGACTAGTGAAAATGTTAGTAGAGTAGATTTTCTGGTGTTTACGAAATAAACCACATGCAGTGCAGCCTGAAGATCATCACCATTTCTTCAAGGTATTGGAGTTTTGTAAAATAAATAAGTCACTTAAGCAACTATTAAAATCCCTGCATTAGCTGTTTATCTCGCCTTCTATCAGATTTAGTTGACATTTTCAGCCTATTGACTTAGTAATGCTGATCTTTGCTAAAAATATTTTTTTAAACTTAATAGATGTTATTCAAACTTGTTACTTGTTTTGATATATTCAACACAATTTGTATGAATATTATCATCAGGTAAGAAACACATTGTTAAGCACTGTAACAGTAAAGGGATGTAAGTATCATTTTGAATAATAAACAATTTATAGAAATAATAAAATAATGTATTAACTGAAAAAAAATAATCTTTTGAATAGTTTAGTCATAATTCAAGCCATTTAACTCAGCATTTTTTAAAAATTATTCCAAGTTCAGAGTTAACTTTGATTATCATGTAGCGATATATAGATGTGATTGGACCTTTGATAGGCTAAAAGAAATCCCACTGGGCTAATATATTTATGACTCTACCAATCTTTTTGACTCCCACAAAACAGATGTTAAATTTAAGACTAGTATTAATAAATAATGTATTAAAAATTTGAGACCAAAATATATATTTACTGTAAAATGTACGTTGGTAACTTCTATATATATTTCAATAAAACAAATACTATGTAAATATTGTACACTTTTCATATGGCTATTCTACTTTAAGAAGAATACTACATTTTGCACAAGACACAGATGTCTGAAGTTTGTGAAAGATTAAAGCAGTTTTCTTTAGGTATGTACAGTCAGCTGATTAGATAAGTTTGAAAAATTTGAATAGTTTATACAGTTATAGTTCAAAGCTATAAAAAAAATTGATGTGCAACATTCACTCACAACGTATGTTAGACATACTGACCAATATAAAATAGCTCCACACCAGGCATCTGTCATCTACTCATAGGTTTTTGGCATGCATCAAAACAATATAATAGCAAACTGACCAAATACCAAAACTTTGCCAAAATAACAAGGCATATCTCAGTCAACACTGCAAATTATTTTGCATGAAGTAGTTTCCTTACTGAATGAAAGAATGAAAAAACAAAACAAATATGGCATATTTCATGCATGTAGATCAGAGAACGTTGAAGAATTACAAATGTTAACATCCCTTATGAAAGAACACTATAAGGTTGTGTCTGAATCAAATTAAATGTTACATCCAACAACTAGTTGTGGGAAATATTAAATGACGTACTTACCTGTCTATCTTATGACTATTTCGACCACAAACTTTGATTTCTATTGCTTCATGGTCAGTAAGAGTGATTATTCCTTCTAAACATCCATGTGGGAAATATTAAATGACATACTTACCTGTCTATCTTATGACTATTTCGACCACGAACTTTGATTTCTATTGCTTCGTGGTCAGTAAGAGTGATTATTCCTTCTAAACATCCATGTGGGAAATATTAAATGACATACTTACCTGTCTATCTTATGACTATTTGGACCACGAACTTTGATTTCTATTGCTTCATGGTCAGTAAGAGTGATTATTCCTTCTAAACATCTTTGTGGGAAATATTAAATGACGTACTTACCTGTCTATCTTATGACTATTTGGACCACGAACTTTGATTTCTATTGCTTCATGGTCAGTAAGAGTGATTATTCCTTCTAAACATCTTTGTGGGAAATATTAAATGACGTACTTACCTGTCTATCTTATGACTATTTCGACCACAAACTTTGATTTCTATTGCTTCATGGTCAGTAAGAGTGATTATTCCTTCTAAACATCCATGTGGGAAATATTAAATGACGTACTTACCTGTCTATCTTATGACTATTTGGACCACAAACTGTGATTTCTATTGCTTCATGGTCAGTAAGAGTGATTATTCCTTCTAAACATCCATGTGGGACATATTAAATGATGTACTTACCTGTCTATCTTATGACTATTTGGACCACGAACTTTGATTTCTATTGCTTCGTGGTCAGTAAGAGTGATTATTCCTTCTAAACATCCACTACAGAACTTGCTCCCCAAATGCCACTGATAAAGATCATTTTCAGGATCTGGATGTTGATGAATTGACCGTCTTAGTTGAACCTATAAAAATAGCAGATTAGCATAGATTTGGATCGCTCTTGAAAATGGTAACATGTCCCAAAATGTGTGTGAAACTACCAATCAATGGAAATTTCTCATCCATAACTAATATTTCCAAAGTAAAAGTTATTGTATGTAAATTGAAAATGAAGAACCTATTACAAAATTAAAAATTATAATTTTTACAATGCAAACAATATATTAAACATTACATCAAAAGTAGGTGATTTTATACCTTGGTATACAATTTTTTAAAGCAAGTTCATGATAAAAATTAGATAAACAAAAGCTTTTTCTTTGTTTTGTTTGCATCAAAGATGTTATTTGTATAAGGATGTGCATTTTTATCTGAAACATGTTAATATGTAAAGCTTTTATACAGGGTCAAAAAGAAAGTTTAATAACAATGAATACTACACACATATACTTACTTCATAACACACTTGGAATATATTCTATTTTTCTTTTATAAACATCAATATTTTCATCACAAAATAAACAAGAACATTTAACATTAAATACTAAAAACATGCTTTAAAATAATTAAGAGTTAGTGTGTATAGAAAGTAATAATTTAGCTATTACTAAAATTTGATACTAACCTTCTGAATTTCTCTAGAATCACAAAGTGTAATTTTTTTATGAGAACTTTGTAGTTACAAAAAAATATGATACTAATTCTTCTAAGCCTTATATTATATTGTTAAAACCTTTAGTTTAAACAAAAATGGTTGAGTACATTATACTAAAAGGATTTTGAGTCTCACCATGTTCTTACAGTCTCTATCTGATGATTACATATCTTGTCTAGACAACAGCATAGCTTCCATTGCATATGGCTCTATCTTAACGCTGTCATGTCCAAAATACAATTTCTCCCCGTTTGTATTCCATAATCCATTTTGTCGATGAGAATGATGGTTTCCCAAAACCCATTTCAACAGTCTAGTATGTTTTTGTATGGAATATAATGAATATCCATTTCAATCTCCAGCTGCTTGTAGTATGTAACGGTTGAACAGAAAGTAAGACTGAAAAAGCTTTATGAGGGTGAACTTCTACCCTGTTTACATTATTTCCATATAGAGATCCTTCTTGATTACACTGCACATTATTGCCTGGGATACTAACCTGATACATAATGCCACATTTTGCTCACCATGCCTGGGGCACGATTGTATGGTCCTGATGCTTCAGTTGGTCCATATTCCTTTGCTTTCCAATCCAATTAAGTACAAAGAATATCTCCATCTTGGAATTCCTAAATCCTTGATCTGAACGTATGAATATATTACAGTGGAAATAGCTGTTACAAATCCTTTCCAAAAATAAATATTTGGTGGTGTCAGACTACTTATCAAATGTCAGGCAATGTCAAAATGTAGTTCTGATACATTATATTCCACTACAACTTTATATCAGATGTGATTAACATGCAACTAGTTGATTTATGTATTCAAAATCATTTTAATATAATATACCCAACCATGTATACTACATTATTCATAATGCAACTTGTGTGTATCATTTTATTTAATGTTATCTATTTGATCTACTGTATTTTTTCAGGGTGTAATTTTTATAGTTGTACTGAGGCACATTAAAGGTCAAAAATACAAAAAATTACCCAACTGCAATAGAGTTAAATCAGTTAAAATTGAGTTAAACAGTCACAATTCAGAATATTCAAATTCATTTTCAGTAACTGTATAAAAGACACCACACATTGAAATGCACACGTAATAAAAAAGCTATAACTACAACATCTTAGCAGTAGAATTTCTATCTTAGTTAAAAAAGCTTAATGTTCTTCCTGTATCTGCTGAACAATTCATTATTTTGCACCTAAATGATATTTTTGTTTTAAAAGATATATTTGTTTCATAAATAATTTAAGATCATTATAATACATTACATGCTTCTACTATGTTTTGTTTGTGAACTACTGAGATACTTTATATGTAGTCTTGTGCTGTGTATATATTATTTTACTCTTTAGGCTAGAAATTTCTACCTGGACACGTGGGAAAAGTCTGGGTATCACGTGGCACATTCCAGCTTGTGGCCTGATTTGCACACCTCCATAAACTCCATTATGATACCTTAAATCATTTTCATCCCACAGTCCTTCAAGAGTCTCAACAAGGTTAAAAACTGGAAACTCGTATTCGATATCACCATCACTCTCACATTGCGTACACAGATGGAGGGCTTCCAAAACCTGTACATAATATTAAAATAATCAAAGCCTTAACAGGATAAAAAAATAGAAATAAATGATAAGCACTAAAAATCAACTCTGCTGAAATATACAAGTATCATATGAAAAATATTTTATAATTAAGTATGGTATTATTATTATTATAATTAAGTATGGTATTATAGTAATTTAACCTGAAATTTTGTATACCTGTAATATTAGATTATACCTTTGACAGAACTCTATGAAAATTCTTTTGTTTTGAAAAATTATGTTTTCATAATGAGATGCACTACTCTTCAACCAAAATAGCCACTCGAATAGAATTATTAGACTGAATATCACTTTTTTTTACAAGTAAAAAAAACAAAAACTTTTCAAAAAGGAAATAAATGTAGGGATGGCATTTACATAATAGCACAGGCAAGAATTAACATACAGCATATATATATATAGCTATTCAATCACAATGGAGTTTAATTTATCCTATTTTTGTCTGTTAACATTCTACTACACTGTGGACCTGTGCTATTATGTAAGGGTAATGCAAATGCCATCCATACTATCATGTTTGGATTCTTTTTTAAAGGATTGATATTTGTCATTCCTACATTTACTACTTTTTTGAAAAGCTTTTCTTTACTTGTTTCTTTATAATGCAGTGTTTGAATAGATACGGGAAGATTGTATTTATAACCAAATTATAAATACAGTGAGGTTTGAACTGTGATATTTATTGTTTATCTATTACTGGCTGGTAATTCCTATTTCACTCTGTACTTAGCTTTTAAAAGCACCCAAATTTCTGTAAGAAATTTAACTTCAAGGGGTAAGGATAACATCATTTACACTAAAATTATGATTTTTTTTATTCATCACTAGTTGATAATATTTATAGAAGCAGATACACCATTTGAAACTACATCATCTCAGTGAAATTGGTTGACACCGTTGTTTTGGTTTTTGAGTTATCATGTAATCAAACAGAAGCAGAAAGAAGAAGAACAAGAAATTCAAACTTTTTCCTATGATATTTACAGACATTCCCAGAACTTGTGACTCAGTCATTACATAGATATTGTCATAAAAGGTAACATTCTATATTAATGTAAAGTTCTGATGACCTATTGAAGAGATATTTGAAATACCATTTTGATGAGTAATATGGGTCATCCCTACATAGGCAGTGCTACTACATAGCTTAAAGTGTGGAGAATGTTCAGTAGCATCATGGCTGAACTGGGAACTTTCGATTTCTAGCCCATCATGCTAACCATTAGGCCATGCCCAACCAAATATTTTATTTACTTATTCTTTATTCATCAGTATATTACTCATTTCCACAAACAAGTAATCCCTTGTTTATTTCATCTTTTTTAGAGTTATGATTTAGGCATCTTACCTGAAGTAAGTCCAATGCATCAGTTTCAGGAAACAGAAGCTGAATGTCATCTACAGTATAACAACCCGTCACACGAGCTTGCTGAAGATGATCATGTGACAAGAGCTGACCTACAACATCTACACACAACCACCTTGGGTTCAGTACAACAACATCCTGACTTTCTGACTTAAGGTACAGCACCTATAATATAAGAATATAGTCAGGGCATTAAACATTTTCTTTCTCTTGCAGCAAGCTTCTTACCTTCCTTTGAGCATGATAGTTACCTTCTTCAGTCGAAATATACTGTTCCAAATCAATATGGCAAATTAAAAGATTAAATTATTTAAGTTTGTGAATTTTGAATGTTTTGGAGTTGTATTTAAGAAGTTCACATTATCACCTTAACACACAGTGAGTATGGTTTGTGCCTTTAGGAACTACATTCTTACTGATTCAATTTCCCTGACAGATATAATCAATTTTTGTGATGAACTGACTATAGTCAACATCTACTGGTACAAAAAAGTATTAATCTTCAATAAAAGATTATTAAACATAAGTTTTGTTAAACCTATCACACCAGTTAACTGTCACATCTATGGGGATGAAACAATGGATTTTTGATGAATTTCATGAGTACTCTATAATTTCTCAATGTACATCTAAAACATAAATTTTATAAAAAGTTCTTAGAGGCACTGTTAAATATTGTTTATTCTCATATCTTCAAAGTTTCTATTATTTTTAATTGAAGCTTTCTTTCTGGTACAGAAGAAATCATACATTTTTTCTCACCTATGATTGAACAATTTTAATTCATTTTTTTGGGAATCAAGCTATATTTGAATGTAGTATTCCATTCATGTGAAAAACTAAAACAAATTAAGTTGCATGGATAAAAATAGTTTCAATTAAATCTAATTTGAATTTCAAATTATAACAATGCAAGAAGTTCTTTAACTCCAGAAAATAGAAAACTCCCAATTGCATCAAGAGCAATGTACCAGAGAAAATTAAGATGCACATACAGGATACTTTTCCTAGCTTATGTGTCTGAATAGAGCTCATTAGTGCTAATACAAAGTCTAAATATCAATAGGGTCAGACATGCTAGAGAGACATAAAATAAAGTAAATTATGGCCACATTTGACTCAATAACTCTCTCAACACAGGCTTGGTCTGTTTGACCGACCATATGACCTCTTTGTACTTGTTTAAAGTCTTTATAGATTTAATACTTCTAACTTTCAATATAGTGTGTATATCTTCACAAAATTTGGCAGTCTTTCTGTTAACATTATAAGTCTTTCACATTCAAATAATCATATTTTTTAGTGAA